TTTCTTTCTTTCTTTCTTTCTTTCTTTCTTTCTTTCTTTGAGACAGGCCTGGAACTTGATATATAGACCAGGGTGGATTCAGCCTGGGATAAAAGGCATGTGCCAGCACACCTAGCAGCTCTGTTTTTCTTAACTCCAAGTCTCTGCTTCCCTGCTGTTATGGTTTGGATGTGCTATGTCCTGTTTTTAGATGCTTGGTTCCTAGTTGGTGGTGCTCCGTTGGAAGGTTGTAAAGATTTTGGGAGGCGAGGCATGGCTGGAGGAAGTGGGTCACTGGGGGTGGGCTTTAAGGGTCAGGCCTGTTTCAGGTCATCTCTGCTCACTGATCCTCTAAGATGTGAGCAAGAAGCTCCTGCATGCTCCTGCTCCCAGGGTTACACGCTATCATGACTTCCTGCTATATGCAACTATATCCTGTTAAACTGTAAGTCCAAATAAACCTCTCCTCCCTTAGGAGGTATTTGGTTACAGTGAGGAGAGAAGTAACTAATACACCTAATGACCTCCTGGTGAGCTGCAACAGGGACAAGACCAGTGCTGTCTGAGCATCCAGGTTTGGAGCAATGAATAATCACTTGATGAATAATCCCTCTACATCAGCAGTGGCAAATGTCTGACTTTAGAGGAAGCACGTTTAAGTGCTCCTATTTGTTATTTGCACAATAATTCCAGTAAGCAATTAAGACTGACAAATGTCCAGTTATTGGAATGTTTGAGTGCAGACAAGCTCCACATTCTAAAGTGGACTCTAGGCAATACAAATGCTGTATGTCTTAGCCAGGTGTGGCAGTGCTTGCCTGCAATCTCAGCACTTGAGATAGAAACTGGACAAGTAGAAGTTCAGGGCCATCCTTGGCCACACAGCAAGTTCAAGGCTAGCCTAGGCTACATGAGACCCTGTTCCATCCCCAGCCCCCAGGGAAAAAAACCAAACAACAAAAAAAGAAATGCTATGCCTTTAGGGGGTGAACCTGGGTTTGGAGATGTCCCCAAACTGCCTGGAATCATATTTCTGCCCACTTGAGTGTAAGGATTTTTCTGGGAGGAGACTGAATAGCTTTTATCAAATACTCATCTGTATCTTCAGATTTTAAATTTTATTTACGTGTGTGTGTGTGTGTGTGTGTGTGTGTAAGTGCATGTATATGCATGCCATAGTACATGTGTGGAACTCAGAGCACAGCTCTGAGTCAGTTCTCTTTCTTCTGTGGGTTCCAGGATTGAACTTAGGTTGTTAGGTTTGCATGCTAAGGGCTTTTACTTGCTAAGCCATCTTGCAGGCCTATGGCCTTGAACCTTTGATCCTCCCAAGTTGCTGGGATTGCAGGTCTGTGCTACCAAGCCCAGGCTGCTACTCTGCCTTTGTGTACATGTGTGTAGGCCAGAGGTCAACATCAAGTGTCTTCCTTAATTGTTCTCTGCCATTATTTTTTTTGAGTCAGTGTCTCTCACTGAACCTGGAACTCAGTGATTTGACTAGAATGCTGGCCAGTGAGCCCCAGGGATCATCTTGTCTCTATTTCCCCAGAGCCGAGATTACAGACACACATTACTGTGCATGTCTGGCTTTTTTTTTAAACGTGGGGATGGGGCTGGAGAGATGGTTTAGTGGTTAAGAACACTGGCTGCTCTTGCAGAGGAGTGGGGTTCAGTTCCCAGCACCCACATGGCAGCTCACAACCTTCTGTAACACCAGTTCCAGGGTGCCCTCTTCTGGCCTCTGTGGGCATTGCCTGCATGGTACACTACGTAACATCTAGGCAAAACACTCATACACATAAAAATAAATAAATGACCGGGCATGGTGGCACACGCCTGTAGTCCCAGCACTAAAAATAAAGTAAAATGTGTGTGCTGGGGATTGAACTCAGGTTCTCATGCTTGCCCAGCACAAATTTCACTGACCAAACCATCTTCTTAGCTCCATATCCTGCCTTTCTTAAGTTCCTATCTAATGGCTCTGTAACTTTAAGCAAGGCTTCACACTGTGGCCCAGGCTGACCTCAAACTTGTGGCAACCCCCCTGCCTCAGCCTCCCTGAGTGCTAGGATTACCATGAGACACAACTGTTTTTTAAGACAGGATCTCACTATGTAGCTGGTACATGCCATCCTGGCTCAAGATATTCTGAATGTAGAACTGAAATGTGTGTATGCTGGGTGGGGCGGGGTCGGGGAGTCTCTAAAAAACACATTAAATGGGAAGGGTGCCTGCAAAGCAAAGCCACAAATGACTTAAACTGTGTGGCACGAAAGAATGGACTAAAGAAAGCAATTTCCCAAATGTCTGTACAGTTAAAAATCAAGATATAAGCCGGGCGTGGTGGAGCACGCTTTTAATCCCAGCACTTGGGAGGAAGAGGCAAGTGGATCTCTGAGTTCAAGGACAGCCTGGTCTACATAGTGAGTTCCAGGACAGCTGGAGCTACAGGGAGACCCTGTCTCAAAAAGACCAAAAAAAAAAAAAAAAAAACCTCAAGATATGCTAAAGAATTTTACTCTATATTTATTTGTTAAGGATCAATCTCAGTTACCTATAATCCCAACAGTTGATAAGTGGAGGCAGGAGGCAGGAGAATCAGGAGTTCAAGAGTAACCTTGGCTATACAGCAAGTTTGAGGCCAGCCTGGACTAAATGAACTATGCCTTTAAAAATAAACAAAAATCAATCCTAATTTATTTAATACATTTTTCACTTCCAAAGGAATCAAAGGATGACAGCAGTCACCCCCACAATTACCTGGTGCACAACTTAGCATGGAACCTCACCGGTGCCCACAGCAAAGTGACAGAGAAGGCATGCACTTACCTGGCCAGGTGGACCCAGTGATCGGAAGGGCATGTTTCCTGGCTTTGGCTTCATCAGAAACAAGGAGTTCTGCTCATTATTCAGATGAGGCAGCTGCTGGGGAAGATAGGCCATCAAGGCAGGCTTGCTCTGGCCAGACCCAGGGCCGCCTTGCCCACAGTCTGCTTTGTAATGAGAAAGGGGTTTTGTATTGCCATAGTCTAGCACAGACCCTTGATTATTCAGGGAATTCTGATTCAAGTTACTCGGTGACTGGTGACTCAGCAGGCTTGCATGGCTGGGTTGGAGGTAGGGGCCTCCTGGCCGAGGGGAACTCTTGTTCACACTAGGCATCATAAGCAGTTTGGAGTTGGTAAAGTCTTGCTTATAGCCAGGAGGGCTGGCAGGCTTCTCCATGGGATACGAGACATTCAAGGGGCTGTTGGAGGGCCCTGCCTGCTGCCATGTGGACATCTGGCCCGGGGCAGGTGCTGGGGCAGCCTGCTGTGGGTTTTGCAGCATCTGCTCACGCTTCTGCTTGGCAGCCATCTGTTGGAGCTGGTGGGCAGAGGATAGCTCAGAGGCTGCTCCTGGGCCCTGGCTAGGCAACACCACACTTGCAAGGGCTCTTTGTGCATTCTGGGCCTGGGCTGATGCCGGCATCAGGTTCGGACTGGGATTGTCTGCCCCAGGCTGACCAGAGGTGTGGAATAGGGTCTGAGAGCCTCCAAGGTTTGGGGAATCTGTGCCTACAGGGGCAGATGAAGGCCCCAGAAAGGTCTGTCCTGCAGACCCAGTCCTCACTTGTGGAGAGCCTAACTGTTCCTGCTCAAAGGTTGCTGGAGAGAATTCTGTCTTAATATTAATGTCCTGGGCCAAGGGGGTTTGTGTGGCAGAGCCAGAAGGCTCTGGGTCCTTCTTCTCCTCAAAGTCCTCAGTAAACAGGTCCTTCATGTCTTCGTCAGGCACCGACCTGTTCAGCTCTTCAATGAGCTCTTTCCACTCCTGTTCATTAAGGTTGAGGTCAGGCATGAGGTTGCTTTGCGAGATGGAGCCTCCAGTCCCAGTGATCATGCATGGCAGGTCATCCACAGGTTCCTGCTTCAGTTCTTTATTCAGGCTCAGAGAAAATGACTCACTGGGGTTGCTGCCTCCATTCAGGTGGAGGCTTGAGTCTGCCAGACACTTTTTGTTGATGGAGTCTAGCCCCAGAGAGAGCTTCCCACTGGACTGCAGGGCATCTCCCCCAGGGGGCTTGTCAGGCTGACCAAGGGGTGAGGCTGGAGGAAGCCCATTGGCAGACACAGTGACACTCAGAGGGGCCTCCCGTCGGGTCTTCTTATGCCCAGGAAATAGGTCTCCATAGCCATTCTGTTGATCACCATTCTGAGGGGAGGCAGTGCTGTCCAGATTCCTCTTCACGGTATCATGAAGATGCTGGAAAACATTGGAACAACAGACTTAGGGATACAATACCTTGTCTGAGATCCCCTCTGCCTCCAACACTGACTTCAACCAGGAACCTCGTGGGTTCATACCTCCTTGCAATGCTGGGAACACACTTCTGCTTACCTTCCAGCACTGCCCTCTATCACTAGGTCTGTGCCTGGCCAGTTGCTAGGGGAAAGCAATGCATCAAACCTGGACATCTGCAGGACACAAGCCTGCTGCTAGCCATATCAGCCAGTGTGAAGGTGTGCAGAAGAATGGAGCTGAGGAAAAGGAGCCAGAGGATACAGCTACAATTTTGTCATACATAAGACCAGTTATCCCCCCACCCCTGGACTTTTACACTTAAACATCTAGTCAGCCAGGAGTGGTAGCACACATTAATCCCAGCAATTTGGAGGCAGAGGCAGAAGGATCTCTGTAAATTCAAGACCAGCCTGGTCTACATAATGGGTTCCAGACCAGTTCAGGCTACATAATGAGACCCTGTCTCAAAAAAAAAAAAAAAAAAAAAAAAAAAAATCTAATCAGCTGCCCACAATCTCCAACCTCAAACTGTATTTCTTACCAAACCCCTCACTGACCAGCACTTTTATTCTCTTATTCTCTATCCCATTTAACTTATTCAGTTAACCTAATGAGTCTACTTATCCAGGAACAAGTGCTGTGGGGATTATAAAGTCAAGTAAGGTTGACCCTGCTCTTCACCGTCTCCCAGTCTCCTAGAACAGGGAGAAACTCAGACATGGCTATAGAATGAGGCCAATGCCCTATCCTAGTAGAACAACAAGCATCCTGAGGGTTGGGGAGGGAATTCCACTAAGAGAACATGACAGCGTGTGGGGGAGGTGCTATCACTCTACTACCTCCTCAGCCTCCTCTGCAGCTGTTAGGACCTGATTCCTCCAAATATGCTGCTCCTTTCCTGTACTTTATTTAATTTTTTTGTCTTTTTGAGACAGGGTCTCCCTGTAGCCCCAGCTGGCCTGGAACTCACTATGTAGACCAGGCTGACCTTGAATTCACACACATAAATAAATAAACAAACAAATAAATAAAATACATAAATAAAAACATAAATAAATAGAAAAAAAAGTTCCTAACAACTGTTTTCATTTTCTCTCCAAAGAGCTTTCAGGAGTCACAGTGGACACAGCACCCCATGCCATTTCATCTGGCTGCAGAGAAGGGCCACTTCCTTGGGAGCAAAGCATAGGCATGCTCTGACCCCATTTTCTGCCCAAGGCAGCTCCGTGGGCACCAGCTCTCAGCAGCAGGGTATGTGCTGCTCATGGAGGATAATCTTCTCCACCTCCCTGTCTCAATTCTCCTGCTGCCATTCCTTCCCTCTCCCATATCAAGAGCTTCACTATTAAAGCCGATGGCAGAGGTCCGTTCATGCCTACTGGCATGCCTTTAACTCCATCTATGGGTGCTTAAGTTGTCTGGGAAAGAAAACTTAGGACTTTCTGACAAATGGAATGGTAGGGCAGGGGTGGGCAACACATCTTGGTGCTAGTATCCAACCTAAAGGCATGGCCTCTGGAACCCCAGGAAGTCACTTGGCTTTCATGGAGGAGCATCTGCTGCCTGCTGCCACCTAGAGGTGGATGGGAGAAACGCACCCTCTTAAAATGCACTCTATAAAACTGAAAAGTTCTCTTTGGAGACGATAAATTCATTCCCATTTAATTGGTCAGAGAAAATAAAAATGCACTGTTAATATTTCTCCTTTTTATTTTTTTTTGTCTTTTTGAGACAGGGTCTCCCTGTAGCCCCAGCTGGCCTAGAACTCACAGAGATCCGCCTGCCTCTGCCTCCCAAGTGCTGGGACTAGAGGCATGCGCCACCAAGCCCAACTTATTTTTTATTTTTTGAGACAGGGTCTTGCTTTGTAGCCCAGGCTAGCCTTGAACTCTTTCAATCCTCCTGTCTCTGCCTCCCAAGTGCTGGAATTATGGCATGAGCCTCACACTAGGCTCCAATAGTTCTTTTAAAAAAATTTTATTTATTATTTCATGTGTATGCATGTATTGCCCGTATGTAGGTAAGTGCACCCGTACCATGCAATGCCTGCAGAGGACAGAAGAGGCTATCAGATCCCCTGGAACTGGAGTTACGGACAGTTTCTAGCTGCCACGGGGTGCTGGGATTCAAACCCGGATCTTCTGCAAGAACAACCAGTGTTCTTAACTGCTGAGCCATCTCTCCAGCCCCCCAATAGGTCTTTTATTTCTATTTTTCCTACAATTTTTTGTTCCACAGAGCCAGGTCTGGTCTTTAAATCCAAGAGCTCAGTTTTCTATTTTCCTACAGAGAAGGTGGACACCTAAAGGGTCAAGGCATTTTATGAGCCAGTCAGCTGGCTGTCCTGGATTAGAAACAGAATCCCTCTTTGCCCTAACAATTATAAAATCTGCCACTCCTGCTCTCAGTGGCAAACAGCTGCAGATAAGTTCTGAAGGAACAGCTTACTTTTGTAACACCGATTGCTGCTAGCCAGGGGAAACACTGGGCCATGTTCTCAACTACTCACAGAACTGAATTGGAATGATGTAGGCAAGGGTGGGGAGTGTGGAATGTGGTGGCTCTGGCAGATTTGTAAACCCTGGACACTTGCTGAAGTGCCCAGTATGTGCTGGGAGCTGTTCCGGAAGCAATGATGAAGGTGCCTGGGAGCCCAGTCCCCAGGCATTTACAACCCAACAGGGTAAAAGTTATGTAAGAGGTGGGGGATGAGGCTCAGTGGCAGAATGCTTGCCTAGTAATATACAAATCCTTGGGCTTGATCCCTGGCACTACCGTAAGAAAATTACATGAGTGTTATAAAGTGACAGAAGACCAACTGTCATCTGTAAATGTATGAGTCTTTATGTGCTCAGCAGATTGAGTATTTCTGGGTGCTCAGCTCAGAGGTGTGTGGAGTTCCAGTTCAATGGGATGATTCAATCAGGTGGCTGTGATCTGCTGCAGAATGTTGAGTGCCTGTCTTGGCACCCTCTTTGTCTGACTCCCACCCCAGCTTGGGCCAGTTCTCCTATGGGGAGGCCTCAGCCTCTTGGTGCCATCTTCTGCTCTGGGAGGTCTCTGTTATCAGTGCTCATATGAACCTGGAGGCATCCACACCATGCAGACAGTAACTCAGCATCCTGCCCTGTTTCCCCCCGCCCCATATTAGCCTTTATAGGATGGTCTCACCTAGTCCCCACTTCCTCTCTTTCAACAGTCTATCACTCAACCTCAATGTGCTTTGTGGTCAAACTCATGGAAAAAATGATAGCACCTACTTACATTCACTCAAGTTAAAAGATGTGGCTGAGATTTGTTTCACTGAGACAGGGTCTTGCTATACAGCTCAGGTTGGCCTTGAATTGCTTATACAGCTGGCTGCTTTGAACTTATGATCTTCCTGCCTCATTCTCCTAAGTGCTGGGATTACAGGTGTGCACTATGGTCCCTGGTAAGGTGTGGCTGTAGAAGGAGTTTATCAGTTCTCTCACATACCAGCAACCACCTGGGTGGCCCCAGTACTTCATGTTGCTGCTCAGTGGAAATTTGCTGGTCCTTCCTTTCCCTTGCTTCCTCTCTCTCCTCCAATCAGCCAAATAGCACCACCCTACCTTTCAGGTCCTCTGCAATGTGGCTTCTATGCTTACATTCTGGGAGTGGACTAGATGTGGGAGAAAGAAAGGCAGACATCAGGAGGGCTGTCTCCAACACTGGCAATGGTTGGCATGCTGCCACACAGACCACGCTTACAGCCTTCCCTCGCTCTGCCTTCCGCTCCCTACACCATCTGCCAGTTCACTCTATTTATTGGTCTCTATTTTTAAAGTTCTCTTTCCTCACACTCCTGCCTTCTCTGCCTACTCTTCTAGTTGTTTCTTCTCAGACTCCTCTGAGGTATCTCCCTTTCTCCTGTCCTTCAGTTAAGTACTGGAACCCTCTCCTCTGTCCCCTCTATACACTCATCCAATGGATCTCATCCATTCCTTTGTCTTCACATTCCTAGGTCGGAAACTCATACACAAAACATGTTCAATGGCCCGGGGTGGAATGCTGAGCTGGCTGCTGTCTCTGCCTCTGCCTGACCACCTCCTTTCCTGTACCCCCACTCTGTACCTACTCAGCCATTAAGGCCTTGCCACTCCAGCCTGAGGCTCATTCCTGCCACAGGGCTCTTACACTCAATCTCTTTGCCCAGAATATTTTTTCCCTCTGAACTTTCCAGAATGACTCATCTTGTAATTCAGGTATCACCTCAGTCACTCCCCATCTGTTCCTCCCTACAATCAGCCTCCCCTATTACCTTGCTGACTTCCTGTAAGTGGGCACCATTAGAATCAGGAACATTGCTCTCTGTCCCTGGACAGCAGACAGCACTCAGCGAGTAGTCTCCAGCCCCTCACCTCTGCAGAACTCCCAACTCCTGTTTCTGTGTCCATCACGTGCACACCACTCCCTGGGCACACTGAGACAACTTCAGATGAAAGCTGTCTAAAGGCAGCTCCTCTCTAGTCCTGTTTTGCTTTCCTCCCTTGCTCTCAGAGAACGTCACTACTAGCCACCCAGTTACATAAACCAGAAGTCAGAGTCCCCTAGCATTCGATCAGTTTCCACCATCCTTTGGCTGTGTTACCTCCTTAACCTTTCATTCTTTTTCTGAGACAGGGTCTTACTATGTAGCCCTGGCTGGCTTGGAACTTGCTATGTAGACCGGGCTGGCCAGGAATTCACAGAGATCTGTCTGCCTCTGTCTCCTGAGTGCTGAGATTAAAGGCGTCTGCCACTTTACCCAGCTCTTTTTTGATATTGGAGATTCAACCTGGCTCCACATGCTAGGTAAGCACTCTATCACTGAGCTACACCCTGGTCCTCCTTGGCCTTTCTTGATCCATTCACTTGCTCTACCTACTAACACCAGTTTCTCATATGAATTATTTTAAATATGTCTAAAACCAATCTTGGTGCAACCCTGACTCCCACCT